TAGAACATTTGCGTCAGTGCAAGATTCAGTTTTTGTCAACTATACATTTATTCTGTTACATGATTCTATTTTATTGCAACCAAACTATTTCTTATATATATTGTATATGCGAAGTGAAGAAAGAATATAAAACTAACACATTACAGTCATCTTGTTTACTTACATATCGGCCATTGTGAATTTCATACACAGGTATATGATAAACTTCTGCACTGTGATATAGGGCTATTGAATTACTTGCGCAGCAAATTTTATTGTGATTATCGTACAAAGTAGTTACGCAATTTGTACGGGCTTCGTATTTGATTCATATTTTAATAACGATCAAAAATATGTTTAGATCTTTAAGATGAAAAACTGAACTTATCTTCATTAAATCTTCCACAAATCCTATATTTAGACACAATTACACTAATGTTTATCACTTTATATCTGTAATGTCGAACTGAAACATAATTAATTAATTTTCAATAGAGGAATATATTTTTGCCCAATATGGCGGGTGGTTATGTATAATCATGGCATTGTCCATGTTGCCTTTGGTTTATTAGAATATTTTGGTGTTGTCTGCAAGTGTTATACAACAATTTGACTAATCTCTGAAATGAAATACGGACATAGTCGAATGATTTACCCAGAATTTGTACCAGATCTATATCTCCTGTTTGAACAGTTGATAGAACCTTTTAAACCAATATGCATGTCTTAAAATATTGGTTATGGCATTTTAACTAAAAAGATGACAGCAGAAAGTTAGGTTACGGTCAAGTTGTATACCAACATTTTTAGCAACAAATGTATGCCGAGCTCAGCAATTTTGTACTACAAAAGTTGTAATATTGTTGCATATGTACAGCCTTTAACAGTTACTAAACGTCAGTTGTATAAGTGCTTCCGTTGGGAGCAATTTGTTGGCTAAAGTAGTAAATGTGCACACCAAAACAACAAGGCTTGGGTTTGTTGTATAAACGTTACCATATGTGCCACACCACAACTATTTTGACTACCGCGCAAATATGCCGTATAAAATAGTTGTATAAACGTTTATGCAACCGTTCAAAATTTGTCCTATAACGTGTTGTACAACTATGCTATAAGAATATTTTAAGCACCTCATTTTAGAGCAAATCTGCTGCAGAAAGCAAATTTTCATTCCACACAACATTAAGCCAGCATTTTGGTGTTCAGGCAACAACAATACAGAGCTTTTACGGCTGAACAGTTCTTTTACCAAAATCTTATAGCACTACTTTGCTAGTTGGGCTGTAGCAAGTTATCATTCATTCCGTGTATATGTTTTAAGCGCCGGACCGGTGCGTCGGGCGGTGAGCTTAAATAGCAGAAGTACGCGTATTGAAAACATTTCTCTATCATTGTAAGTTTTACAGGCGGGAAAATGTATGATGTGTGAGATAACATGGCCAATTGGGTTGGAAGCATATAAATCTGGGTACAAATATACCAACTTGTTCCTAGCTTTGACACCATTAGACGGATTTTAAAAACTATAAAGCTTTTCGCCCTTAGCATAGTAGTCACCTTGTGTGAAAATTTGATCCAAATGTGATCGAGCTATAGGCGGTCCAAGGATTAGCGTACACACAGACTGAAACATAGACCGACATATAGATAGACAGACAGACCGATAGAAATAAGTGACATGATTTTTCGTGATGTACATGTCATATAAGAAACATATTATCTGATTTTCAAAATGTTTCGCGATCACAACACAATACAATAAAAATAGGAAAACATTCCAGAATTCGATAGTTAATTTTTAGAATTAAATTTTTTGGGATTTTTTGAACACGTACACATAAATACTGGAGATCTGTAATTTAGAATGGCGCAACCCGGACATCATTCTCTACCGTGATGGGGTGAAGTTTGGATCGTCAAGCAAGAACACTGATAAGGCAACGCTAAAGTCACTTTTGCAGTAAAAGATGATTCGAAAGCTTTCTAATAGCAGGGATTTTTATACTGAAAGAGCCGCGGATGCAAAAACGAGAACCGGAATATATTTCTGTTATAAGAAGTGCGTGTTGACTTCAATTCTGTGCTATCCAAGGTATATGACAGAAGACAAGAACTGCACAAAAAAAATATGTTAAACACGGGAAAAGCCTACAGATTGTGTTTTCTTCAATTTTCAGATACAACTTTTTGTTCGTAGAAAGTGCTAATGAAAGTAAAATCACTTACAGTTATCGTTTCCTATACCGGCAAGTAACGCTGGGTCCCAGGCGTACATGATGTATATTCACTGGTATTTAAATCATAAAATCAGTTTCTCTACAGCCATAAAACGCATAAAGTTAGGTAATGCCTAATATGACGGAATATCGTCAATATCCAACCGTTCTAACGTTCTGTGTTTTCGTCCAGACTGATGGACAATGTTGACAACTATTCAGTCGATTCATCAGCTTCTTCATTCTAAGGGTATCGAGAATATGTAACAATCCCTGAGAAAAGGCGTTCCCCTATTCTACTATACTCGGGCACCAAAATGGCTATCGGCAAAGTCGGTGCGCACTCCGCGTTAGCAGTGCCGTAAGGTGTGCTGTGCTACTATCTTCCATTTTGGTATCAGATTGAAACTTTGATCGTCAGAATGACTTCAATGCTGCAGTTGCGCAAAGAACCCCTGCATTTAGGATCTGCCTTCGTGAAATTGAAATTTTACTTAGTTAATAGAGTCTGTAAAAGGTTACGAAATATTTATTAACTATTTATAATTTTTTCAGGTAAGCTAACGTTCTCAACATCATCAATCATGGTAAGCTTGCCGCCTTGAATATACTTTAGACCTTAAGCATAAAAAAAACATCTATTCAATCAAACCATCGTTTCCTATTAAACTCATGCCCTGAAATAAGACCTACGAAGAAAGTTTAAGTCCTTTTTTTCTCCCCCTTCTAGAGAAAATATTGTGGTAAAAAAATCTTTCATCCATTGTGTGTGCTTCATGGCAGACCTTTAGTATATGAGTATTAGATCGTATTAGAGTTTACTTAGTTTGTCTCCTTATTATTCATTCCATGAAGGAGACAGACTCTTCAGGGCATGGGCAAATCTGTCATCGCAAAGACTGTTACAGCATGTAAGAGGTAGAATTATCTCACGCTTCCAATAGAATCATACAAGGAAATGGAATGCTAGCAAACCTTAAACTCCAAATCCCGTATTATTTATGATATCCATTCAGTAGTAAATCATAGCGGAATATTAATTAGTTATACCACTGTATGCATCGTGTATGGAAAAAATTCAATGAAATATGCATAGGTATATGGATAGTTTGCACATTAGCGTCTCTTTTTCGTTTGTGTTACCTCTGAATAATTTTGTTACACTTGGTTTCTTAGTATAATGCCATCATTATACCATACTGTACAGTATTATTAGTTATTTGTTGGTTCAACCCCCGGAAAAAAATGACAAAATATTTAAATATTATTGTGGGAAGGTTCATATTTTGAAATAAGAAAGATCTGTCCAGGAATTCTACCAAAAATCCAAGCGGTTTGACTTTCCGTAACCTCATAAGTTCGACCAAAGTGAGACAGACAACGACGGCATGTTGTAGCTATACGGTTATTACCTTTGTCGCCACGATCCGTATAACCAGTCTCAAATCTGAATATGTAAGATGTAAAAAGTATGAAACTTATTAATTATTTCCTTTTCTGTTAGCGTTTATCATATATTTAGTATTAAACACATATGTTCAATACTAATGGTCTATTATGACGAATTTATAGCTTTCCTAATGACACCATCCCGAAGCCTGAAATCCGTAATACACCCGATGTGTAATTTTGAGAGGATAAAAAAGAAACTACTATGGTTAAGATTTCTTATGATTGATACCTCTACAAATAATTGATTTCATTTCTTTCCGAGAAGAAAAAGCTCAATAACTCAATCTAAGAAAAAAAAAAGTTCCGTCCTAAATTTTGCATAAGAAATAACATGTATTGAAATTATAACAATTTTTTGTATAGCAAGGGACCTAATTAGGTAGATTTTATTCACAATTTGGATAAAAAGTAGTACACGGTGCTCAAGGTCAAAGAGAACGAAAAGTATATTTTATAAATATCAAGCCCCAAATAGTATTCTTTTCTTTATAGATGGAAACCCTCTTTTTCATAATTTCACCATGGCAGGGATCAGGCGAACTACTAAGAATCTTACGGCGTTCAATCAAAAGGAAAACCAAAATTTCTAAATATTTGGGAAACTACTAATTTATCAAGCGTTCAACCTTATACAAAGTTAATCTTACAGAAAAAGTTGACATTTTGAATTTTTTGAAATCTAATTTTCATTCTCTTTTTCCTTTTTCAGTACCTTGTACTATTTGCTAACCAAATCCGGAATACAATCTAATAAAGGAAGTTATCTACTATGAAAAACACTCAATATTTTGATCCAGTGACAAAGGGCATGCACCTGTCATAGTTTAACAAACAATTTGAGATCTTTCAAAAACAGTTAGACTTAGATGATGATATACATGAAGTGTGTCTCGCGTATATTCCAAGACATTGAACAATAAGTGCTATTCAAAATAAGCAAGTTGGCTTATACTTCCGGTAGAGCCGGAAAATATTTTAGCCGAATTCCTACCGTAAGCTAGGTATACTATAAACTCGAGATTTAGATACTTGTAATGCTATTTAGGACAAGACATCTTTTTGATTTTGTATTTATATTTATTTATAACAAATGTAACGCAATTGCTTAAAACATCATTGCTGTGCAAGTAAACCTCATGAAACTCTTTTATAATTCTTTATACTGATTGCCAGTATCAATTTCGTAGTATCATTCCTACAGTTTTCACGGATACTGAAACGTTCCTTAGACTATCCCTTTATGATGCGTTCAACTGCCCTCTTATAAATGTCGAATCATTGGTTTTGCGGGGGCTTATATAATACACACACTTAAGTGCATGAAGAAAATGATCCAGTCCTATCGCATAACTAGCAGCTGTGCAGTTAACTAGAATCACTTTACGATTCTAATTATAGAACCAGCCGTACGCACAATTTGTGGTGGCAGTACGCAGAAACACGTGAAATTGGTTATATCCAAGAATGGCAAGCACTTACACAGTTGTTAATTAAGCGAATAATAGAGTTAAGTGCGGTATCTAGAACTTGATGGTGGCTTGAATCGCGTTTTCCGGGAAATATTTAGCTGTAACTTATCGAAAAAAGTTTTGTTTTGCTAGGAAGTAGATAAGGAAGGTAGGAATGTGTTCTGTATAAGGCTAATAATATTGCCAAAGCTGATTTGGATTGAATGTAATGGAATTTTGATTGGTCAAAATCTCCTTTAGTGGAGATAGTACGAATAGTAACTACAATAGGTAATAATATACTAAATCCGTATTTTGTGATAGACCGACAGTGTTATAGTTCCTAGAGTATTGTCAATTAAATTAACACAAACTGGCTTTTACTAGATATACAAGGCGATTCAGAAAACAGTGCCAATATTTTCAGTACATAAATATATCGCAGAAGGTTCACAAAGATCATATAATTATAATAGAAAAGAGATAGAAAAAACAATCAAATATGGAAATCTGGCCTATGGAATTAAAAACATTTGGAAACTGAAGAGTGTATCCATTGTAGCATTCCTTATGTTGCTGAAGGAGTAATGACAAAGAATTTCATTTCAAACTTGAAATCACTACAGTAGAGCGGAAACATTGCTCGCATAGGACAAAAAGCTATCTGCCTGCAAACATTTCACATTGTGGATGGAACTGAATTGTTTATCAACGTCAGCGATGAAACCGCCTCCAGTTCTATTACAACTGAGAATAGATAGAAATAATTATAGCAATAATTGCACATATAGTTTAGAATTCCATTTACAGGACCGAGAATCGAAATCTGACATAACAATAAAGAAACAATACTAATTTGTCCAAATTTAAGAGAATAAACAAACATCAATATAATAACGCTTTTTAATGAGTTGCCACAAAATTCTCTTGAGTCGAGAAAGAGAATACATAAATGTGTCACAAATACTGCATATTTTGTTGAAGTTCATGCACATGACATGAGATCTTATAGCTAAGCTGGTATTTGTACGGGTGCAAAAAATAAGACATTGTTTCTAGAACATGTCCTTGGAACTAAAAATTGGAACAGGTCTGATGAATCAACAATAGAATGAAAAGTTTATATAAGAAGATGACTGAGTTTTATTTTTTCTCTTACTCAAGGAGGCAACTTGGAATCTTTCCAACAATACTTGGTAGTTGAACCCACGCTCAGGATAAACTGAATCAATCTCAAAAATCAGATACTTAAGAAATTTCCTTTAAACATGGTCGATTTGATTTATATAAGAGTTGTATTAAGGATTTCAAATCAACGGAGCATGTTCCAATTTGGAACGTGCATAGTTAAAGTATGATGTTTTTAAAGTCTTGAATAAGCAGTTTCTAACAACATAAATGTGAGTAATGTGATGGTCAAAATTCATTCTATTATCAATAATTATCACCACTTAATTACAAACCGTTTCATGCCGACTGATTACATTTCGTCCGATGTTATAAGGGTAAACTACTATATGTTGTTTTCAACATGTAACCACTTTGCATTTAGTAATATTTAGTTTATTCAATCGACACCATCTTAGATAACTGACACTGTATTTACTCACAATCAGTGATGCTGTTGATTTCAAAGAACAAATTCAAATAGTCGGAAAATGTTTATCTTTCACAATGAATATTGTTACTTACATCGTTAATAAAGAGCGAAAAAACATATGTGTAGATACTAAGATTCAGCAGGTTGTAAATATATACCTTCACTGACAGAGAATAGAACACGACTATTTTTGTAGTAAGGAGGCATTACCTTTATAATGCAATTTGCAATATCGAACTCCTTTGATATGAAAAAAACCTGTACAGCCTTAACCCCAAATGTTTACAAAATCAGTAAACATTTGACTACCTATATCGCGAAAAATGTTTCAAAAATGTCATTGGCGTAAGATATTTATTATTTTAGTACTTTTTACTGCTTCGTCCTGATTTAGATTAAGCCAGTAGAATCTATGTAACGATAACTTTATTACTAGCATTTTACAACGCCTACCTTTCGTTGTTCCTTTTGGACGTATTTTATATCATAGAAAGATGCTACCATTTTTCTAAAACAGGTTCATCAATCAGCCTGTAATGTGTATTTGAATTTTTCTTACAAACTTTGATATGACGATACGTTTCCCTGATAAATTAGATAAACGCTTTAACATAGATTAACTATGTTATTATCTCCAGTAAACCAGTAATGACCTTTTTTCCCGCAGAGGACCTCAGATCTCAATCATTTTGTAATATTTAATTTATCTAAAAAATATCATGAATATACAAAAAAAAATAGTTGCCTAACACGACTACAGCCTTCATATTTCTCTATTTATGAATAATGAGTTAAGATTTTCCCATGCATAGCAAGAACATGAGTCTGATAGTTACCATTCGGTACATATGGAACATACTGGCAAGTTACTCAATTTCATTCGTTTTTATAAATGAATGCAAACGTATAACCTTATTTGTAGAAAATATTACATCTGATTTCATTAGAATATATTATCGGTCCATCCAACATATCATACAGGTTGCTACATAGAGCATAATTAGAATACATATCTTACGAATACAGGTTTCGCATGTTTTGATGAATGACAGCGCTATTTGAATGTCTGCCAAACAAATTTGGTCGCATATGCATTTGCACTGTGTATTTCATAGAAACGTGAAAGAGAAGGGGGATCTAGACTGTGTGACTACAGTTCATGTTTTCAGTTTTAAAAGTACCCGCTTTGGCTGGCTCAAATACAAAGTATAAAAATAGACATTAATAGTTTTCTTAAAGTGAGTTAAGGAGTTCCTCCGGATAGTTGCTTTACGTGCCATTAGGTTTCATAATTTTCATTGCAGTCTATCAACTAAAAAATTGTGAAGAAAAGTATTTTGTGAGAATAACCCGAAACCGAAAAGAACGTAGAACGGACGAGAGAAGCTATAATGAAATACAGAAGGATCACACATAGACGATTAGCAGCAACTGCGAGTATTGAAATAAATATTGGGCGAACAATGTACACTCATTTAAAATATTGTTCACGTTCGGGTTTCTCATACATCAACTGTTGCACAGAACATGACAAGAATAACCGGAGAGAATAGACCTGTAGACGTCGATGACGAGAATTGACTATATTTTATTGATGTTCCGACCGAAAAGACAAAGCCGCCTCTAGGTTTGCGGGAATGAAGATCATCGGATTCAGCTTGAACAGTTGCGGCAGGTTGGAAAGAGAATGGCCCTAACTTTTTTTTTTATCAGATCCAATGGAAAACGTAGTGCTTGCGAAACAAAAGACAGATACAGCTAAACGGCACATAGAAGACTGTTTGCAACAACCATGCCTTTTTATACCGAAGCAGCCGCGTAGCAGGAGCCTAAATACCAAGGCACCGCGGCTGCTATGAGGAGCTTGAAGACACTTTGTTAATCCGATTTTTGAGTTCATTTGCCCAAGGTTAGTAGAACTGGCAAAAGCTTCACAATCTCGATACCCTATGGTCAAAGAAGCTGTCGTATTGGCCAGTTCTGGATGTACGAAATACGACACAGTTAGGATGTGAAACTGCAGTTGGGCGGCTCCATCTGGCATGAACATTGTGCCACAGCATCATAGAGGAAAGCTCTGAGAAGCAAGGCCCTTGACATAGCGATAGGAGAGAGCTAGAACGCCGACGGCGGTGTGAAAGGATCCACTTACTGTCTGTTAGAGAAGATACATCTATCAGTAGGACCGCCTTCCTCTGAACAGATAATACAGTTGGGGCGACAGCATTCCAAACATGTGAGCAGTACGACAGTGCAAATAGCCATCTATTACCAGAATCGACTACTGCGGGATTGTATAGCAGTGGTTCAATGACGTGTTGACCACAACTAATATACCAACAGGATCGTCAGCCTTTAGCGGTCTCAGTGGTAACTGGGCTATCAAACGCGAAATGAGATCTTATTACTTCCAACCTATAGACTGCTGTATAATCTCGCAGGAGTCAATTCTGGTCATAGATGGCACTTTGCGCTGTCTAATTTTGATCGATCTCATACCTCGTATAGAGGATACTTGTTATGCTTTCGTTCATTATCCCAGAGATCAGCAGCAGCATGTTTAACTATTTGCTGCACTTGAGACTTAGATAGCAGCTGCGCTCATGGTATCTTCACCATGACAATGCACCGGTGCAATCAGATATCTCTCATTTGAATGTACACTGTTTCAAGCCGGGGCTTATCCGAGCCGTGTACAGAGCAACGGAAAGCACTTCCTTACTTCATGCAGATTATGCAGCTTTTTGCCAGCAGCTGTTTGATGATGAGACGTAATCGTGTCACACGATTCCCTAATCAGTGAACTGATTTGGTTGTTAAGCTTTCAGCTTCAAATCAATATCTCGAAGGAAGAGTGAGAATCAAGTGATAGGCAGATCAAAGTGGAGAGCAATGAGGTATGATTTTATATATTTCACAAAGAAGGGCTCTAAGATTGGAACTTTTTAACTCAGAATGGGTGGATATCATATTCCAATCAAAATCAACGAGCTTTTATCTTAAGTACCGCATGAGGAACCACTGTCTAAGACACGGATCATCTGCTATAATAGCAAAGTGGAATCAAGTTCATAATTTCCTGTAAGATGATGGCACCGATCTTGTAATGTAGAAAAGAGTTATTATTATTACTACATTTATTGTTACATTAGGATTTTCGGACAAGCAAAGTCGATGATCTAATTGTCTTAAAATCGTCAAAGGAGTTGTTATTATCAATGACAATTCATTTTTTCTTGTTATTATTCGCTAGTACAGTTGTGCTTTCAGAGCGTCGGATGCCAGCATATATTTTAATGGTTCAAACTACTTTTTTTTTTTAGGAGAGATCGTTTCAAAGGATATTTGCAGATGATTAGATTGGCCTGATCAGGTTTTCATAAACATCTCAGTAAACTCACAATCCAAAAATTGACATCACGCTCGTATTATACAGGGTGCGGCAGAGAGGACGGACGTTTTTGGGATGGGTAGTACTCTCCGCCTCCGTCTACGAGAGAGGTGGGGAGGGTGCCGTTTGACTCGTGAGATCCTAGCATTATTTTACCAGTTGTCGTTATGGAGCCTTG